ATGCAACAATCATAATAATCGAGAGTACCAAAAGAACTTACCCAGAAAACTTAGGAGGAATATTTACTGTTGCATAAAGTGAAAATTCTCTCCCCTTTTTGCACACATCCACATTCCATGAATAAGGAGGAATATCTACTGCTGCTTGGCAAGCAAGTGTTTGCCCCCAGCTAAAGGGAAATTATCTGCTTTTTTGCACACATTCCATCAAAACGGAGGAATATTCACTGCTCCATGCCAAGCAAAGTCTTTCCTAGAGTTAAAGGGGAGTTTATCTTTACTCTTTTGCACACATCCCAACCACACGAGGAATATTTACTGCTGCATGACAACCAATGCCTTGCCCAAAGTTAAAGTGGAATTATTCCGCTCTTTTGGACACATTCCATCGATATTGGGACCAATAATTACTAGGAATACTTTACTGCCCCAAAAGTTGTAGCATAACCACTTCTCTCTTTTTTCTTTTATGGCATCGGGATCTTCAACATTCATCGACAGCCGACTAATCCCGTATTGAATGTGACAATCCCTCATCTAATAAATAGTAGGTAATTAGTGGAGCACACAAGTTTATGGATCTGATCAAGCCAGATCGAGCCAAATCGACCCAACAAAGTCTCAAACTTGAGCTCGACTCGACTAATATATTTGATGTTTGAAACTTAACTCGAATTCATCAAGTGGTGAGCTTGTCAAGCTTGAACTCAATTAGCTCGACTTGACATAATACTCGCTTGAGTAGCTTCAAGATCGCTCCAAATTAGTTTACTCGATCTCGAATGATGATCAAGCCTTGCTGAGTTACATGCAAGTAACATGAATGAAGGAGGCCAAGTATGTTAACCGCTTAAGCATCCCTTGAGGGTTGTACAAGGACTTCATTCACATAAAAGAGACGCTCCTAAAGGTAAGTTTCCAAGAAAGAGAGTGCAAAGTCTTCTCAAATTTACAGCTCAGTGCATACATAACCTTGGAAAAACCATTTTTAACTTTTCTACTACTTCTCACTGTGCTTGTTGCAATCATTTCCGAAAGATTTCGTGCTTCCACCTACTCGGACAGTAATGGTCTACATGTCGAAAGAATCTATTGATCTTACTGTGGCATCCTTATTCTGAATCAATCACTCCAAAGTTTTGGAGTAAATAATTGAACTCGGAAGCTTTTCACATCAAACGAGACCGCGTGCCAGGACAAAGAAAGAAACTCCGAATCTCGCAACAGATCAAAAGCTTTGTTTATCTCTGACTTTGGACGATGAAAGGAATCTCTCGTGCATAATTCATGATTCATGCTTGAAAATATTTGAATAATCGACAACACTTGGTCGATGAAGTTTGCATGCTGATGAGTCTCCCGCGATTTGAAAATTCGTTGCGATTCCTTTCTGTGCACTGTTTTGAACATGAAAATCACGCAACATGCTGTTGACTGAGATTGCTGAGCAATCCGATATTCTCTCTGTATATGGAGAACAATGACGTCTTTCTTTACAGCTCATGCATGCATGAATTGATAGAACCCTAATTTTTCGTTTCTTTTCTTTTCTTTTCTAGGGCAAGGACATGACCGTATGTTTTTTTAATGTATATTAGCTGATTGTAGCGACACGTTTTATAAATTTATTCGCCACCAAAGTCAGAGAAAATAGTTCGGAGATAAAGACCTTGTAGCTAGAAATCGTGGAAAAGAAGAACAGAAGCTGTGCCGCTTTTGGTAAGGAAGATTACAAAGTGCCCTAATCATGACCATCATATCATTACATGGGCTTCAAGTAGATGTCCCCGGACGAGCCTTTCTTTGGTTTTCTAGGCACGGATTGCACGTTCTTGAAGGAATTTCAAAATACTGTTCAATGAAAATCGAGTCTAAGATACTCTGAACAAAGCAGTATTTCTAAATATTGTTTTAATGGAGTTTGGGAATTTTCTGATGTACTAATGTCTTCTTAGTCTCTATTTTATCAAATTTAATATCCGTGCTTACGTACATGTGGAGCCGAGTGTCCATAAAAGGACGATTTCCTCATATTATAATTAACATGCTTCTGTGTGCAAATTTCGTGTATTTGTACAGATAAATAACTAATGCAACTGTAAAACGTGAAACTCTGTTTAGCTAAATGTCGAAAATAAGAGCGCGCTGAAGATGATTAGGGCAAAGCGATCTACATCACTTTAGGGCTTTACCTCTTTACTACATATCATTGGATGGGGGGATGAGCTTCATAGCGCAAACAGAAGCAAACAACCCTTACAATATCATATGGAAATCGAATGAGGCACACAGAGTTTTGTTGCTAGGCATCTGGCTTACTAGTGTTGAGGTGCACGTATAAGCGTATTAAGTGGAAAAAGTCCCACATCAAAGATGCGATGTAATGTAAAGTACTTAATATGTCATAGTCATAGTCATCGGCTCAAGTTTTCAAGTGAAAGTGGGTCAAATTGGATACTTTGACGAGTTTGGACTTGGACTCTCTCAACGATCACCCCACCTCTCCTGATTTGAAGAAATTTTTTCCACGGTATCTATGCGTCCAAAGACCAAACCCATCATCCTTACAAAAGTTAGCGAGAATAGAAAGAAGGGTCCCCCGCTTAGTACGTCCAATGTTTTCAGTGTCCATAGATAAGGGCGTGTCGAGGCCCCATTTTACCAACCAAGAGAATCAATTAAAGTTCGATTAAAGATGATTTAACCGCAATTAAATCAGGTGAAGCTTCTTCTGTCAATCCCACCGTGGTGTTTTTCCAAAACAGAATCTCCGCAAAGCAGCTTTATCAGGGGGGGTAGAAGAAAGGTGCCTGTCCAACGTACAATTATTAGTTAATCATTTACTTTGCCTTATGTGTTTTTTTCCTTGAGATGTTTAGTAAAGACGGGGCGGGAATCAAAACGTGGGGTGAGAGAATATACTGGTGCTGGGTATCGCCATGTGAACACCTCCCGTTTTGAGACTGACATGGCTGCAGCAGCAGCAGTAGTTACAAGATCCCTGTCGCCATATGGCTGGAGATCGGACCAATACATAGCCACTTCGCTTTTGACTTTGTGTCTCGAGAATGGTGCCCGACTACTGATGATTGGGTCTGGAAGAGGAGATCGCACGTCGGTGATGATGGTTTATGATGCAGCAGACAATTCTCCCTTCGCACAACTGTCGTTCCTTTGGGCATCGGACCTTGACAAGACGCGTGAGTATCGACGCAATGATCGTAAGAAGAATCTTGTTTTGGTACATATCACGTGAACGGCGTTAAGCCCAAAGCAGATCCTCGTGAGAGGAGTCGGACCGAGCCGCTTGAAAGAGATTATTAGGTTGATGCATGATTTACAGGTACGGCAACAAGAGCGCCAACTTGGTATAGCTAATCATGCTTTACGTCATTTAGATTTGACATGCATCAGAGTCTGTCTCCCCGAGAGCTAATTTCATTGCTCTTATGCTTTGTTTGGGGGACCGAATATAAGATAGCTTCTACTCTATTCGGTGTTTGGGTTAATACAAAACCTGAATATTATCCGGATATAATCCGAGTAAATAATTTCCACGGGATTGGACATGATTCGGATGTGGCCGGATTTTGCACAACCAAGACTGAGATGTCCACTCATGGCCTCCTTGATGCCCTCTGCCATGTCCTCCCCCACGACGGGTTTGCCTCCACTCTCGACACCGCCATCCAGTCCACTACCGCGACCCTCCATGGCCTCCTCATTGTCGACTGTCAAGAGCCCCCAACTTGCCTCCGGGGTTCTTTATCGAAGACGCTTTGAAGGTGCTCTTTGGGGGGGGCCTCTCTTTATGGGCTCAACACATCCGCCATGATCTAGCTTGGCATCGTGGCTCCGCTGTTTGGACTAATCCCAAAGGACGAGAGGGTTGGATTGCTGGACGACATAATGGCGGTGTGGACACAAATCGTAGGTTGCGTATAGAGTAAAGAGGCCTTCCAAAAAGAGACCATTATCTGGGTTTTTGTGGATTTGCTAAAACGTCACAGCAGGCTCAAGTAGGGGATTTTCAATCCTATCTTGGTCACATAAAAAATGTGATGGGTTTTTTTGCAGTCTAGCGAATTTCTAATCTCACTTTATCTTATCCTATCTCAGACCCATGTCTGGACAATTAGATATAGCCTTAGGAGATTAGATAGGTACGTTTATATCATGAACGATGTTTTGTAATTAGGTTTTTGCCTTGCTTGTGAAGTCTAATAGGCGTGGGCCTTTAGGCGTCAATCAAACATACAGTGATTAACCTGAAATCATCCAGAGTTCATTAATCAAGTACTTGGCTGTAGCAATAAGCATGTTTAGCTGAGGTCTTGCATGCAACCTTAATCCAATAGGTCTATGCTGCACTGGGCTTTCCCATAATCATGAGCCCAATTTAAAATGAGACATCCAAGGAATAGGAGAACTTTACTAAATGAGAATTTAATCGAAGACCCAATACGTTGGGCTGTCTTATCAATTTGAGAATGTCCCAGTTTGACTTAAAAGCCCAATTGATTCATATCTTGAGTTCCACTACACATTATTTCACATAATAGAAGATCCCCCTTCCTCGTTTTTCTTCCTTAACAGCCCAAGGGCTTAGCTGAATTCCCAAAGTCAGTTAAGAGACATCATATAGAAGGGGAAGCAAGCTTTTCTACGAGGACCTTTGCAGCCCGTCCTCATCCTTTGAGACGGACTTCACGGATACGTTTTTTATTTCAATGTGCCGGTACCCGCATATTTCACTCCCCCAATTCTCACCAAATATTTCTTTTTTCCTGATGAAAGGAAATACCCTCTAGGTATTTTACATTCCGGTGATCCCGAAATTGAGCATTTTAAGGACATGATGGTATCCAATCATTTCAGGTAATAGAAGATCCCCTTTCCTTGTTTTTCTTCCTATAACAACCTAAGTGCTTAGCTGAATTCCCAAAGTCAGTTCAGAGACACCATACAATCGCCCAGTCCTTGATCCAAAGTTTCAACCATCTTGTCAATTTGTCCTTGGTCCAATGGTAAGACTCGAGAATTACCCGGTATGCGTAAAATCGAAAACATTACATGCGTGAGATTTGACGGATAGCGTTTTGAAGCGCCTCCTTGCCCTCAGTATACCGGAAAAAGAAAGATTTTTTACTAAACTTACTATAGAGTGCAAGCTAAACATAAAATAAATAAATAAATAAGCAGTCTGAGACCTACAATTCCAGCTAAATATCCACCAGGCCTTCAGTCTTAGAGGAACCACTGGCACTGCTTGGGAGGCTCCACTGGTCGGAGAACCTGCCAGATGCTGGGCCGTTCCCGCACTTCACCACGGCTCTAATGCTCTCGATCAGCTCCTGCGTCCGGCCTTCTTGCGATAATATCTCGAGCAACTGCTCCGGACAAATCACAAGCTTCACCTTCCAAACCCCATTGTTGATCTTGCCACTATCCCTAGAGAAGACCTCGGTGTACGAACTCTTCAACATGCCTTGGTAATCCAGTGACATCCGGTACGGCGAGACGAGCGACGTCGGTATGCTACTGGACCGGACATGGCCTTCTCTCATGACCTCGTTGCCCAACAACAATGTATGATCTCGTGATTTGCTACCGTCGCCATTGTCATAGGGGAGCAAGTAGTAGGACTCTCCTACCACCAGCTCCTCGTGGAGAGGGAGCGGATTCCAGAATAGATCGTGCGCACGGAAGATGCCAAGGCCCGGGAACTCGTCCGTGATGGATCGGACGGCGATCGGGGCGTAAAACTCCATGACCCCACCGTTGGGCGCCACCACCTTGACGAGCTCTTGATTAGCCTCTCCTAAGCCTCCAAAGAGGCAATTCCCCATGTCGATCACTCAGTATATTGTCAAGAGGGAGAATACTGCAACGATGTTCTGCTTTCGTCCTTGTGTGCATATACACTAGGGTTTTGGAGGGTGTCGAGAAAGAGGGGAAAATTTTCTGGAGGGAGAGGGAAAACAAAAGATATCGTCGGTGGGATTCTTCTTGAAAGCTTCCTTGCTCTAATTAACCTAGCCCACATAAATAAATAAGCAAAATTAGGATAGGGAAAGGGAAAAGAAAATTGCCAATAGGGCCAACTTTTTCTATAGTGTATATAATTTATGTGTTTATGTAAGTACAAAGTTTTATGGTGCAATCACACTGTGGGAAGTGGTCCAACTGTTCATGACATGATGTCGATGTTTCTATATGGTGTGACAAAGTGATGGTTGCATTCTTGAAAATAAAAATAATGAAGCACTAAAGTTTTATATTTTGATTTAGTAATGTCGTGGCCAAATATGAATGGGAAGGTCTAAAGACATTCGCTTGAAGTACTTTATGGAGGGGTCCAGTCAAAGAAACAGGATCAATCAAGGAATTGAGAAACATCACTTTCTCTTTAGTTCTTCAAACAACTTTTGGTCCCTTTTGAGGGGTTGTGGCATGGAAACTTGTGACACATTATGCTGATTCTCCAATTTTGGATCTGTCTTGTTCTTTAGGTTTTGTTCGAGGTTCCATATATAACTTACAAAAAAGGAAAATAAGATTAGACAATAATGAGAATTAGGGGTGAGCAATTGGGCCAGTTCAATCCGGGAACTAACCTGAATTTTCCTTCTTCGGCCGATTCACAGTCTATTCACAAGGGGATCAATCTGGTTCCTAATTCTAAATATGGAGAACCCACTGGTTATAACTAAGAAACTTGAACATGGAACCTACAAGGCCGAGTTCAGGGTAGAACTTGGAATCGAATCGATTTTGAACTAGTTTACTCCTAACTCTAAGTTGGTTTTTTTACTCTTTTTTTTAAAATAGAAAATATTTGTTGAATTGGATATGTTTGACATATTATCCCCAAGCAGTAAGAATTTTATTCACGTTTGACACATGCACATTGTATATATAATTAAATGAAACAAAAAAAAAAGCCTCAGCCGATTCTAGGGTCAACGGGGTCGGTTCTCAATTCCAAAATTTGGGTGACAACCCTGATAGGGTAAGTTTCAGATTCCAGACCTAGAACCTATCCCTATTAGGACCGATCACCCCTAATAAAAATCCTAAGCATACATATAATGATTTTCAAACAATGTTCGTGTGAGTGCATGAGCAAAGAAATTAAAAGCTTCAATATTGATGAAGAATGACACGCAATATATTTTATCCATCGTGTCGAATGAATTCATCATGAAATTTTTACATCGTAGTAACCTTAGGAGGACCCTACGAAAGGCCACTTTGTTGCAGTGAACGACAACAACCAGGTTTCATTCTACTTTATGCAACAACAACCACTCACGCAATGAACTCAGCCGCATCATATCTCTCTCCACTAAACTCCAATTCAAACAACGTTACTGTCAAAAGAAATCCCTTTCGAAATGCTAAAAGATCTTAAATTTCACTAACCCTAAAGATGGCTGGAGGCGAGTGAAAATCATCGCCATATACAATTGTAACTTGTTCCAAAAGCATGCTAGAAAATTCAAAAATTCACTCCGGCCAAATCGTAACTTCAAATCAACTATATTTCTAGCCAAAAAAAAAATTCAAATCAACTATTGTAAAATCTCACGGCTCAATTACACCCTAAACTATCATTAACACATGATTTTGTAGCTAAACAACTCCTAGATTGAACCTAGCAATTCAGAATTCAAATATATTTAAATCTACCACTTAACTACGAAAATTCATTCGATTAATTGAATAAGGGTTCGAATCTTACCGGGTAACACGAAACGAAGTTAATCCTACTCGTCATGGCTTCTCCAGTGCGCATGCGAGAACCCTCTTCTTCTTTCTCCTTCTCGTGTTTCCTTCCCTCACTCTCCAGTCTCCATTTTCGCTTTCTCTCTTCTCTAACTCACGATTATTGTTCTAGCAAAAAACAAACTCACGATTATTGTTGCGAGAGGAAGAAGAAGGAGACTTTAAAGGTTTGTTTGGGCTGAGTTTGGCTTCTGGGCTTTTCTTTTTGTCGCATTTTCGTCTTTTGTAGAAAATCAAAGCTCAAATTCACAGACTTGGGGCTCTCTAGAAAACGATGGGGGCAAAATGACAAAAAAATCGCCTTTCAATTTTCAAATCTTAATTTGTTCGTAAATATTTACCTAGTGCCATTTTTATAAATCCAACTCAGCATATAATAATTCACGTTATCGAATGATATCCGATTTGTCATTATAAGTAAGTCGAAAGATCACATTAAATATTTACTGATAATTCAAAAATCATATTAAATAAATTAAAAATTCTGAGATCACGTTGCGTAATAAATCAAAGTTCATACGTCATTTATGTCATTATTTTCCCCCGAACGTCGTTTTTCATCTCTCTCGGGAGCTCCGCCGCAAACTTCTCCTCCATAGCGTCCGGTTCATCCCTTCGATCCGGTCCATCTTCGTAGCTTTAGCTCTTCCTCTCGGTTCCTCGGTTTCTGGCTCGTCGACGCTCGCTAATCTTTGCTCTCTCGGTGGTGCTTTCTACCGGTTAGTTAAGGCGCGATTCTCTGCTTTGCTCTTTCGTTACGAGCCGGGGATTCCGAGTTTAGTTCGTAGTAGAAAAATTAAAAGGTCCCGCGGGGCTTCGCGTTGCTCTCGCGCGCATCGTGACGTGACCTCGCAGCTTCAATCTTGCGATGCCCCGTATGTGTGAAATAGCCGAGAGTAAATTTGATGGCTACAATCTGTTCGACGAAATTCCTGACTGGGTTGTTGATGGATAGGTCTTGTGTAATTCAGTTTATCGGAGATTACGTTCTGTCCGTGAGCGATTTAGTAGCCATTTGAGGTTATGTGTGCTGCGTCTTGCTGAATGTATCGATTGAATAGCCTCCATGTGTGCGTTATGTTTGATGTTCAATGCCCCTCTGTGCGTAAAAAGACTAAGATGAGTTTCTGTGAATACGTGTTGATGAATAGGCATGCTGTCTTTGCTCTTTGCGAGCGCTTATGAGTTGAATATGACTACTTTGTTCTGGTTGCGGCATTTTGTCGAACGGTTGCTGCGCATTCTATGAATTTTAATGTTTTTTTTTTTGGTAAGGTATGAATTTTAATGTTAATGGCTGCTTTCTACCTTTTTGTACATTTGCTCATATTTTTTGTCACGCTGTCTTTACTCATGCTCATGCTCATCACTAGGACTAAAGTCTTTACTGCACATGTTATGGTTTTCCTCTATGCATATCGATTTCACTTTGTGTGTTGCGATTTGATTACTAGATGTTTCTTTTTAGTGCTTGGCCGAAATTCACCCTTGATATGTCAATTTGTACTCCTTTTTCATTGGATGAAAGCATCTTTGTTTTGTCTCATTCGTTATCTTGAGCCGACATAACTTGTTTAGGACACCGAATTGGCTTTGTTCATCCATGCCATCTGAGGTGACTTGTATGACTAGGTGAAATTCATTCATTCACGTCAAAGCTAAGGACCCCTCTTGTATATAAAATTTCTTGAATATGGGATTTGTGCCATTAAAATACAATTTGTATATAACATGCACAGCTGTTCATTGTCATTTTTTCTCTGATGTGATGAATGTTGGGTCTCCTTTACATTTTATTTTGATCTTCCACCCACGTACGTTCATGTACGAAGCGTTATGTGGAATCTATGTCCATTTCTCATTATATTATAGCATCCCCCTAAACATGTTAAAAATGATGGAGATGTATGCCGTCCAGATTTGATTTTGATCTTAATGAAGGGTATTCAGCTTGGTTTGCATGTCAATTTGGTCATGTAAATCTATATACTAATACAGGAATGAACAGTTCTATAGTCATGTCAATTTTGTTTGCCAAATCCATGCATGTCTTATATACATTCATGAAGGAAAGCTTCATGTTAAATCCGTGTCAATTTCTTGTTGAATTGTTGCATTCTCATGTCTTGGATATGTGGACTTCGATCTGAAACCTTGCTGGTTAAGACTGTTCATGCTTTCATTGAAGAATGTTTAGCTTTGTTAACAAGTTATTTGACTGACATAGGCATGTACTTAAGCATAGAAATGCATTCGGTCGATTCCATGCTAACTTATTGTTGATTTCCCACTGTTCCTTGTGCCATTTGTACATTGGATACAACCTCATGCTCGCTGGTCAGTCTAGGTTGAGTGTGAATTAAAGGAATTGCATTCTCACTTGAGTGTTATTTGACTTGCTCATGGTAATATATCGACGTACTATTGGTTTTGCATCATTTTAGTATGCTCGATATCATTTTTTGATGCAAATCGTGGGCTTTGTTTGTCGATACTTGCTGGGTGTCCCTTATTGATTGTGAAACATAGGAAGCTTCGTCCCATTTAAGTGTTGCCTTAATTGCTCATGAAGATGTACTAGCAAGTAATTAATTTCCTAATAATATTGGCGAGTTTAGGCATTATTTCCATGAGCTAGACATAGGTCATGAGTGCTGGATGTCTTTGCTTGGTATCTTTGTTATTTGAGATGTGGCATTTCATCGAACAATTGACATGCATGACGTTTTTGGTATTTTTGCACTAGTTTTACTTCTGTTTAGTCATGTTTCATGTTAGGCTATAGTGACATGCGTGTTTAGTGTGAAGTTGGATGAACCCGTTCATTGGGTAGACACTAGGCCCGAACCATCAAATATCGAACTCCATTACTTTGGGTTTGATCGCCGAACCATTAACGCCTCGGATTTGACCACTGAGTCGCGGTTGGTTCAAGTTTGATGGGGAGTTGTTGATATCATTCGGGCGATGTTTTGTGTGGGCCTAAGTGATCTCAATAAATGCAGAGCATCCTTATTACCTATCTGCATTGGTTTCATGTTAGATTTGTAGAATTGCATTACATTTTAGTTAAATTTAAACATGGCACTTAGGTGTTAGTTTTATTTTCCTGATCTGCTTTTAGGATAGTCAGATTGCAGTTAGATGATGTGTCAATCATCCAGTAAGATTGTTTATCAGAAAAAACTGGAATCATAGGTAATTTCTGTCTTTTTTCTTTTCCTTTTGGGGAATATTTGGTTAATCAGCATTGGCCAATTGACATTTTTATGCTGTTGCAGGAACTTCTGGGTTTAATTGGAACCGTGTGAAGATCAAGACTATGAACTTCGCAGCATCATTTTGTAGGAGAGTTAGTATCAAAGAGCTTACCACCAGCGTCTCAGTTTATAACAGCGCCAGTGGTAGATATCCCCCTCTCTTTCTCTCACACGTGCACTTGCAGAGGCCTTGCGATTTGCTAATTGCATTAATTTCTTCTGTTGGCTTAAGATGCATCTGGCGGAGGATTGAGTTTGCTGTTCAGGCGTTGGGCCACTAAGAAGTCGGCTGGATCAACAAAGAACGGAAGGGACTCAAAACCGAAGAATCTTGGAGTAAAGAAGTTTGGTGGAGAGGTAAGTGACTACTGATTCAGCAATTGCAGGACCACAATATGAAATGGAAGTAGCAAAATTTATCTGAACAGCCGGTGGTAAAAGAAGTGTATCTAGCCCATCGGTCTTTCTTATCCTCTCTGTGATGAATTTTTCTTTTCGATACCTCTGTAGAGAGTCATACCAGGAAACATCATTGTTCGACAGCGGGGCACTCGGTTCCACCCTGGGAACTATGTCGGAATGGGGAAAGATCACACCCTCTTCGCGATGAAAGAAGGGTCGGTGCAGTTTGAGAAGCACAAGCTCAGCGGGCGCAAGTGGGTGCACATCGTTCCAAAGGATGGCCACACGCTTCACCCCGTGTACGGGGAGGCCGCCACCGCTGCCGCAGCACCTGAGCTGAAGACAGCTACTTAAAACAACCCCGATTCCGAAATTTGATGGTTGAATTTTCAGCGCGATTCCATATTTCTCCTCCTTCGCTACGACAATCACCAAAGTTGCGTCTTTTACCGATCTCTCTTATCTTCTTTGTTGAGGCACAGGAGTGAGCTTGAGAGGTACAAGCTGGAACGCTCGGGATAAAACAGTGATGAAGGATCTTAAGGGGGTCTGTCTTGCTGTGTAAAATTGCATGTACATTTTCGCCGTGCATGCTCGTTTGCTTGCATGATGAGAATAGCGATATACAATTATTTGAGCAAGATTTTTCTCAATCAATGGTTGGATCACTAGTAATTTTTCAATAAACATCTAATAAGGAGAGAATAATAACTATGTGATGAATTCATTTTATTCGTCGTTCCTGTCTTTACCAATTATTAAACATACGCAATTCTTCTCTTTTTCGGCGAGATGATTGGATATACATTAAGCATTTACTTTTTCTCATTGATCTTTTGAACAAAAATTTTCTAATATGAAAGAAGTTCGAAAAATCACTTATTTAAAATGGAATTCTACGAGTTGGAAGTAGTTGCTAGTTTTACTTTCTCTGATAACAAATCACCGCCTTTTTGCATGATAAGTTTGAAAATACATGGATGATTTCAAATATACCAAACGAACACAAAACATTAGCTAATATGGATTTTTGATACCGAAGTAATAACTATGGGGCACACTTTATTAATTTGATGTCAAGAAATTATCGGTGCACATTCGTTCAGGAAAAGTCATATATATACAAGAATAATGTAAATCGAAGCACGATAATTATATGTTGAGTTCAAATTGTACTCTTATATAATACCCTGAAATGTACTATGTTTACACCATGCGGGGTCGAATATTGTCCAGTACATAAAAAAAAAAATTAGACAATTGAGTTAGAATAATAGACAAATACAGGGAAAAGTTCTTTATTAGAAAAAAGAAAAGCTTGGAAGTGGGAGTGGTTGAGTGAGTTTCGTAACACTTTAGACTTTTAGAACTTTCGGGCTTGACTCAATGGGTTCTATTGAATTTGATAAGCACCTAGTAAAATATTTATTACAAAGCAACTTAAAATGAAAAAAAATAATATAAAAAAAGAGCATACTGTCTACGAGTCTACATCAGCTTCGAGACCCTCACCCAGTCGCGCCGTGGCCAAAGTCCCCGGATCTTAAAGGCGCGCATGGAATCCATTCTGGAGTAGAAATTCTGCTCCAGAATGGATTCCGAAATAAAAATGCGTTTGTTAAGAAATTTCGAAATGCATTCTGGAGCAATTTTTGTATTCTGGAATAAAAATGCGTTTATTAAAAATACTTGATTTCAGAATGCATTCTTGATTCCAGAATGCATTTTTTATTCCAGAATGAGTTTTGGGCAAGAAAAAGAGAAGCTACTTTTTGTAGCTTCTCTCTTCCAGAATGCATTCTCCCTATTTTCTCTCTTTTTCTCACTAATTTTTTTTTTCAGAAAATGCATAAAAATTGAAAAATTCCAGAAAAATTCATAAAAATTTCTAGAAAATAAAAAAAAGTCAGATTTCGGGAAAATAGGAAATTTGGTGAATTTTTTTCAAAAAATATAAAAAAATCAAAACTTTCAAAACTTCACAAAATGGCTTAGAATACCTTTGGGCACCCACTTTGAGTGAAATTTATTTTTTTTGAGGTGCCCAAAAAAATCAAAAAATTAAAATTTTCAAAACTTCACAAAATGGCTTAGAATACCTTTGGGCACCCACTTTGAGTGAAATTTATTTTTTTTGAGGTGCCCAAAAAAATAAAAAAATAAAAATAGATTTACTTCGAAATCAATTTACTGGAGCGAGAATTAATCATGTTTTATCAAACAGATTTCTCCTTCAAAAATCAATTTCTGGCAAGAATTCCGGAAATCAATTTCTGGCAAGAATTTGATTTTTGGAGCAGAATGGTTACCATTCGCGCCCTAAGTAACCGGATGTCGGGGTAGCATGACACAAGGCGACCAGTTGAGGCAAGATCTAGCTCGATTGCTCGTCGGGGGTAGTCGCGCCGATACGTTGCCAGTTGAGATCTTCCTTGCTCATTGGGGTCACGTTGCCCTAGGCAAGGCGCCATCACCACACGACTCGCAAGCAAGTCATTACTAGAGTTGCACGGCACGATCCCATGCCAGATCTGACAGGGGTTACGCGAACCCAGGCAAGATCTGACCAGCATCCCATTACCCCCGACTGGACCTTATCGGTGTCGCGTGACCCCCGAGCTTTCATGAAGTGGGAGTAGGTAGACACTTTAGTCAATCTACCAATCTTAATGTATCAAGATGGCTTCCCCTTTGGCCGTAACGATCAAAACCTTAAAAGATTTAATCATCTGGTTGGCACAAACTATGGAGATGTTGGATCATGCGGCGGGTGTGTACAACTCCCCCACCATTTTCTCCATTGCATTAGCGACCATTTCGTTCTAGGCCTTTGGAAATGATAAGCTTGATCTGAACAATCCGCGAGCAACATCCACTCGGGTATAACGGCCTAATATCCTAAAAAATCCCTAATTTTAGGTTCGGTCTTAAATCTACTCCAAACTTTTTTTTGTGCCATTAAAAATCCTTCATTTTAAGTCCAGGCCCAATCTATCCTAAACTTTTTTTGTCTCATAAAAAACCATCACTTTTTACTCGAATTCCAAATCTGCTCTCGTTAATCCTCCATCCAAAATTGTTCTTGGCAATCAAGAGACGAAAAACTCCCGAGCGCTACTTGTTCGAAAACTGAAAAACGACATCAAATGGACTCCCCAAATTTAGGCACGACATTAAGCTCCTCTACGCGAACATCCCCAGTTAGAATAACACCCGAATAATTTCTCCCGAAATCGATAGTTATGGTTGGTCAATTATGACGCATGTACTCTTGTTCCGACCCCACCTTTTAGGGCTATTGCTTACAGCTTACGCTCCGGAAAGTCATCCGCAACTGCGTCCACATCGACATCTCAAATGCCATCTTTCGCAGCAATAGTGATTCCATTGTTAAGGCGTATTAGAGTCAAAGTCGTAGTAGCTAGTATATGTCTCCCCATGTAAATTGCTTTTACAACTAAGCATCTATAATTTAAAGCCAAAAGCGTCATTTGTCTCGCTTTATAAATGTTCCATAACTTGCACCATCACCCTCGCATGAAAATAAAAAAATAAAAAAAGTACCCACTGCTTTCTCCTTAATCAATTGTAACCATCTGATTCACCGGGGTCGAGATCTCTCGGCGGCGGCCACCGGGGAGGGCCGCTGCGGCCTGAGCAAGGACCGACCGGCGACCCTCCCCGACCGCAGGCAAGGATCGTTTGATGTGGTGCTGGTGAGTTGGGGAGAGAGCGAGAGCATCGTTTGGAATTTGGAATTTTGAGAGTTTTGAAGTTACGAGTGTCTTTAGCTGTTCTTAGTTACAGAGAATGAAATCCAGAGAAGGAAAAATTCACCGTATTAGGGAACGAATCCCCACGTCCTTCAATTTTTTATCCCTCAAATTAACATCCCTTTTTTACTGCAACCATGTCGAACAATATAAGCATGCGTATCGGATGATTGATCAAACGAGAGAGGTAGAGGCCGAAATGAAAGCTCCTGAAGATGCGATTGGCGAAGGGCATGGATTTCGATCGTATCCCAAGGTGCGCCGAACACTTGATAGGATTAGATTGGTCTCTACATTTTCCGCGTTTCTGCTCGCGGCGATTCGGCTTCAGACGCGAGTGGCGTGCTCGCCATCTCCTGGCCCGCTCGCGCCGGCCTTGTACGTTTTCGGGGATTCGCTGGTCGACAACGGCAACAACAACAAGTTCCCCACCCTTGCCAAGGCCAATTATCTCCCTTACGGAGACGACTTCTCGGGCGGCGTCACCGGGCGATTCACCAACGGGAGGACCGTCCCCGACTGCCTCGGTACGTATCGGAATCCCAAGCTGCGATTCTCGGCTTCGAACGCTTTTCTCTCCTTAATTACGAACCAGACATCATCGTGACCATATTGATCGCTCGGAACTGGTTTGGATTTGCAATTTTTTTGATCCTTGCTTCTTATCAACATGTTCTCATTGATCTTTCTTGATTTATTAGCTGAATTGCTGGGGCTGCCGTATCCTCCAATGTACAGGAGTTTTAAGGAATCAGCAGTGACCACCGGACTGAATTTCGCGTCCGGGGGATGCGGCATCCTCCCTGAAACGGGAAACTTCGCGGTACGAGCTCCTTACCATCCACTCCCTTTTCTATTGCTAACTTGCTTCTACTTATGTTTGTGTCCGACGCACGTCTATTTGGGGGCTTGTGCTAAGCGATATTTGGAGTGCTCGTTGACCAAGTAAACGGCGCGAAATCCGGATTGGGAACCGGTCTCGAAATCAAAATGTCATCGTGCGTGCCGTGCATGAAATGATATCGAGCTCTGAGAACCCTGATCGTGTGAAATGCGCGTGAAGTTTCGCATGGACACGACAAGAAAAGAGAAGAGAAAATACCGTCGCGAAAACCAGCTTTGGATTGAGCTTTGGGAACGCATCATATATGGGAGCTGTTTTTTGGCAGGGCAAGTGTCTTAGCTTGGAGGAGCAAGTGAGGTTGTTCGAGAGCGCCGCCGTCAATGATCTACCGAGACTCTTCAAGAGCTCCGATGAGTTCTCCGGCTACTTGGCCAAGTCGATCTTGACCATCTTTATCGGCAACAACGACTACATCCTCAACTACCTCAACCCGTTGATCTACAACACGAGCAGAACTTACGAGCCTCAGCCATTCGCGAAGCTCCTCGTCGCTACGCTCTCTCCGCATCTAGAGGTACTATCGGAACACGAACAATTATACATTGTTTTTATCATATCGCGCATATTGAAGACGGGATTCGGTAATCGACCGCCGATTTCGATTTGAAGAAGCCACGGATGTGCAGAGGTTGTATAATAGGGGAGCAAGAAAGTTTGTTGTCTTCGAGATTGGCCCGATCGGGTGCATCCCAACGATCGCGAAGGGATCGAAGCACGAGGGAGTATGTGACGAAGGATCGAACCTACTAGTTTCCTACTTCAATCAAATGCTTCAACCGATGCTAGAGAACATGACAACCAGTCTCGCGGGATCAATGTTCGTTCTCGGTAGAGCGAATTCGCTTTGCTACGATGCAATACTCAATCCCTCCAACTATGGTACGGACTCAAACTCGTGTGAATCGAGAAAAGGGCTTGCCGTGATTAAGATTACATTCATCTATCCCTAACCGAGATTAAGCTCGTGTTTGAAACAGGATTGACGGACTCGAGAAACGCTTGCTGTACAACGTGGATAAACGGAACTTTGCCGTGCGTCCCGTTGCTAACCCCGTGCCCCGATGCTGATAAACACTTCTTTTGGGACGGATATCATCCGACCGACGTGGTTTCCTCGTTCTCGGCTTCTCGGTGTTTCAACGACACAAATGTCTGTTCTCCGGTCAGCATACAAGATCTCGTGCAGATATGATCGTCTCATTTAATTAGTCATATCTGAGGCTGCTTATCACCTTGGGTTATCATCATTGATCAGAGGTCGTCTCTAGCGTACTATTTCGTCGATTTAGGCCGCGTTTGATCGGTCACTCTGAAAAGGATAGAATATGAGATCCATAAATCTTGTTATATCTTATCCGCTGTTTGGTGAATCATAATAATAAAGTCAAATATTTTCTTATCCTATCATGTCTATTATTTGGTATGATCAGCATATTAGTGTAAACGAACTTGAAAATGCACAAACGAATATGGTAAGATTCTTTTTACTATTCATTGCAATCGATCTATAATTATTATATGATCTAAATCTTAAATAGCAAAAGAGCTCATTGCACGTTATAGAGCCATAAGTTTGACTGCGACGTCAATAAATGTAAACAAGCTATAGTAATACCGACGGCTTAGATCAACCAGCAAATGCCAAATCCAGTAAGAGAGTGAAAACATGACCACCTAGCTTCATGATTTTGAAAAGTATAGTTATTTCGACTCTCTCGCCTATTTAGTTTTTATTTGCTTATTTTATTATTTTCCCTCTCTGTTTTTTATTTCTTTTCTCTTATTATTTCTTTTTTATTCCCTTACATCATTCCATTATAAAAATTTTATTATAAATTAAATATACTAATATACCTGAAATACTAATATACCTAGATATGTAATAAATATAAATATTAGATATATACACGGTTTATATAATAGAATAGAAAGAAATTCAATTATATAAATAACAATAGAAATAGATATAAATGAAAATTTGTCATTTAATTTGAGAAGTTTGCTATTCAAGAAAAATAGTTTTTTGTACAACGGATATAAGAAATTCTATCCAAGTTGATCTCACATACTGCATGAGATATTTTTATCCGGGTTATATGCCTCTTATATCCGACTTTATCCTATATTGGGCAGGAACCAAACACGGGATATGATTAAATTTCATCCTACCCAATTTTTTTATCCGAACTACCAAACGCAGTCTTAATGTAATTTTGCTGATGCAATCAAAAAATCAGACTGAACAAGCCAACTAAATTGAATATTTTGACCGTAAAGTACAAGTTAGAACCATAATTTCTTGAATAATCCATTCAAATGTAAAGTCACCATTCATCTTTTCAAATTGGATTCGTCAATTTATCATGGCTTTTCGTCATTCTTTTGTTAATTGTTTTAATATGTTTTGCAAGTTCCGTATTGATCTCGCTCGATATCCGTAACATTCAAACACGTCGAGCGAGAGTATCGCGAATCGATCATTTAAAGATTTTTCTCTGATTTGTTTTTCGATACACAAGCCCTTTAAGATATTGGAGTTTTGTTTGAAGATGCAGATCGTAGATTTCCAAAAACGGACAGATGCGAATCGGTATGGACCCGAGATTTTTTAAGATTTCCTTTCTTATTATAATGTTTGGCTAGCTTTTTCCTCGCGAACCCTTTATATTTTGGACCGACTAAGAAAAAAAAATGGAAAGTGGAAGGAAAAGATGGAGGAATCACTTTGAGCCCCACCATTAATTTTCCATCCCAATAATGGGAGGAAATATTAAAAAAAAAAAAGAAGAAGGAAATTAAACTTTGGCGTTTTTTTCTCGATTTCCTCCCTTCATCTTGTTATGTACACAAATAAGATAAACGGAAACTTTAGACAAAGTGCATATCCCAAACAAGTCGGAGAAATTACGGTTTCCTCCCTGCTCAGTTTCGAAAATTGGAGAGGCCTTCAGGCTTCTCACTCTCGAGACGGGAAGAGAAAAGCCTTACTCCTATACAGGGGCAGTCCTGTGATCCATCGGCTGTCGTAAAGTACCGTAATTCTTCTACAAGAAAAATAAAGTCTCGACGCACAAAATCTTTTAAACTTTACTGCCAATTATCGGGATTTATTATTATAATTATTTTTGTTCCAAAGGGCATCTAATGTAAGGGTTTAGACCAAACATCATTTGGAAATAACACCTCACTATGTATAAATATAATATCATCAAGTGCAAGTGGGGAGACAAAAGGGGGAGCTCCTCGCAAACCCCCGCGCGGCGCGCTTTTTCTTACACGACGGAAGGTAAGGGGTAGTAGCACGAGGGGCACGTACGTAATTGCGCCGTTCAGATATTTTCCCCCCCGCGGTGGCTTGAATTTAAAAATATTTTTCACCGGGGGGGGACCACCACCACCATCGCAGCGGTCACGTGACCCCCGGGGCCCACCCGATCCCCCCACTGGCCCCTTCCCCGGGGTCTCCTCTGGTTCGGTTACTCTCTTAACCACGGTTAGCGTGGACGCCTGGTCAACTCGGCCGCCGCCTCGTTCCTCTCTCGCTAACTCGTAATCCAGGGTTAGGGACAAGCCGAGCCGAGCCGAGCCGAGCCAGGGGTGCCGCTCCGGTCGGCTCCGGACACGTGTCGCGTTCTCAATGGCGCACGGGAGCGCGATGACATCGCGGTCCTGGAACCAGCGAGTGACAAGCCTCCTTTCCTCCGTGCGTTTTCTTTTCTTTTCTTCTTCTGCTTTTGTTTTTTAAGCGAGAGATTAGTGAGATAAACTCATTCCGAATTCGATAGAGGAGACGTGAAACAAATTAAATTGTAATCGAGAGATTGCCGAGTTTAGTTCTTTAACCACCATGTCGATCGCCTTTAGCGGCGGACCCTCAATTGAGAAAAGACGTGACCTACATATCGCGCGTTCTTTATACAGTTACGATCAATTATACCTGTCACTTTGACGATTATTAGTGAATTTTAGGACATGAGGTAGGTCGTCAAAAGAATGTCAATTCGCTTTTGAAATGAGAATAGATCTGTTATGAAAGCATGTACCCATTCGCACTAATTCGAAAACCTCAGGCGGGTCATCAAATGCGATGCAATATTTCAATCTCGAATGTCAAAAAAAAAAAATGCCATTATATACCGATGTTATCGTCGTGGCAAGCTCTAATGATATGTTAAAGACAAAACTAACGGTAACATATTTAGAACGATCAAGATAATTGTCAAGAAAGTATCCTACATTCTTATGTCACTTGCTAAAATCTAATTTGAATCTCTCTCGTAATGCTTGCACTAATCTTACGAGTGAGAAGAAATCTATCTTACGTATCATTAACGATAAATCCCTCGGCAACTGACTCAACTTGTTGATCGACGTGATGATGGACCGTCATAAGTTATTATTCGATGAGGTGCCGAGGTATTAAAGGAAGAAATTTATCCAATGTACTTTCTCCAAATCTGTCTATTAGTAAAATAAAAAAAAAAAAGGTCCATGCCACATCAAATCCACCCAGTTCCGATTGTTTCTAAAAACTTTCATAACTAACTCTCTATAATCGTCCTTTTCCAAATTTAGAAAACGTCTTCCCTTGTTCTCGTTTTTCCTTTAATTTCATAGGCACATTTTGGTAAATTCCCCATTAAGTTGTTTTTCTATTTTTGGCAAGCCAGCACATTTACTTTCTTATGGCAAGTAAGATTTACTTTCTTATGGCAAGTATTCGGTCCGATTCAACTCGGCAATCAGGCTGAACGGTTCAGGGCCGGTTCCTGCGGGTACCAGTCCAATTCCCGGTTTCGAATTTTCTAAACTAACCTTGACCGGTCCAATTCTACTCGGGAATCGCTCGGGTCGAATCGCGCCGAACCGGGACTAACTCCAGGCGAATTTCACGGCGCGTGCATCGAGACGAGAATCGGGTCATGTTAACTTTCGAACATCCTTAATACGTAATGTATGTAACGTATCATCAATAATTTGTCATGCCCTTTCAAGAAATATTAAAAAAAGAATGAAACCCCCCAAAAAGAAAAAAAGGAATCGGCCGATTGCCGGGTCGATCCTAGTACCGGCTCGGACCAGCAGGGCCGGTTCCCGTTTCCAAAAACCGGGTATCGATCTTGACAGGATAAGTTCCAGGCCCGACCCTTATCCACGTCGGAACTGATCGCTCTCGAGATCTCACTCATCCCTAGACCCGACTATTCATTCATCCACATCCAAACAAACCACAGGAAGCTAACCATGGTTAGCATACAAACCCCACGATGCGCAGTGCGCACCCCTCCGCCTCGTCCGCTATAAATACCAGCCCTCCCCTCCTCCAAAAATCTCATTGCTAGCCCCCGGTGGTAACCCTAGAAACCGCTGCTCTTCGTTTCTCTCGCTCTCTCTCTCTTAGAGTTCTTCTTCGTTTTGTTTCTCAATGGCTTCAGCAGAGGTTGAGTTCAGGTGCTTCGTCGGCGGTCTCGCGTGGGCCACCGACGACCAGTCCCTCGAGAGGGCGTTCAGCCAGTTTGGCGACATCCTCGACTCGAAGGTCCGTTTGTCGCAGCAGGAGATCCAGATCTGACCGCGATCCGAATCGATTCCCGATCCGATCTGATCTGATCCTGATCTGTTTGTGTTACTTGATCCTATGCTCTCTGCCCTTACTACTCTTGAAAAAATTTTTGTTACTGTGGCTCGAATCGGTACGTCCATCTTCATCTTCTTCACCAGAGACGGAAGATCGATCGATAGCGCAGCTTTCTCTTCCGACGCGTTCTTTGGCCCCCGGATCTGACCTGTTTGCTTTGCCTTGCTTTCTCTTTCTTTGTCTGTTCTTTTCCAGATCATCAACGATCGCGAGACCGGGAGGTCCCGCGGCTTCGGATTCGTCACCTTCAGCAACGAGAAGGCGATGAGGGACGCGATCGAGGGCATGAACGGCCAGAACCTCGACGGCAGGAACATCACCGTCAACGAGGCCCAGTCCCGCTCCGGCGGCGGAGGGGGCGGAGGCTTCAGCCGCGGAGGAGGCGGCGGGTACGGAGGCGGCCGCCGTGAGGGAGGCGGGGGCTACAGCCGCAGTGGTGGAGGCGGCGGCTACGGAGGCGGCGGCGGCTACGGAGGCAGCCGCGACCGCGGCGACGGCGGGTACGGTGGTGGATCCAGGTACTCCAGGGGCGGCGGCGACTCCGGCGGCGACTGGAGGAACTGAGTCTGTCGGTGCTGCTTTGAATTTCTCTTTCAAGTTCGCGTTTGTGATGTGAGGGCTTTGGTGGATCCGGTCCCGGTGTCGTCGTGGTTTATGGTTATGGTGATGTTATGGTTTCGTGTTCGGTTTCTCTGCTTTTTTGATCGATGTTGCGAATAGGAATCAAAGAAATGAAGGATAGATCTTCTTCGTTCTCAGCACTAATCTTCCCTTGTTTTGATGCTCTGCCTGTGTTCTTTTTAGATGCGTGAGTATTTTGGGTCGCTTTCGATAGGCGTTGCGTCTCTCTGTGTATCCTCAGTTGCTGAGAGGCGCGTCAACGGAAGCGTAAAGAAAATTTCAATACCAACCCCCAAGATCTTTACGATCTGCGACCTCGTTCATTCGATCGGGCGCCAGATCGTTTTTTGGGTTGGGATTGTGCCATTTTTGTTGCAATTTTTTTGAAGGTGCGGTTGCTTCCTAATGGTGAACTCCCTGTAAATCAAAGATGAGGGATGTTTCAAGTTTCCGAAGCATAGATCAAACGAGTTCTCAATCAGTGTTAAACAGCGCCAGCGTGTTGTTTCGTGTTGCGCTGGGTGCTACCTGTCTGCTGATACATATGATTTGACCTCTCTGATTCCGAGAGGTTTCCTTTTTTTAAAATATCCGGAATCGTTTTCTTGCGATGCGATCTATGTCACTTTCAAGAGGGCGTGTACCAATTCTCCACGGGACGATGCGATGAGGATGAAATTCTTTCGTTGTGGTGACAAGCGAACAACCAATACCTTAGGAAGTGATTTCTTTGTAAAAGTGGGTCCAAACTATTGAATACGGCCGAACTTAGGCCGTCTCTCGACGACCTCCCAAGTGAAGGTACTAGGCATTCCGCCGGGTAGTGCTTAACAAAACTTATACTATTTGAATAGGTGATAGACCTTTGAAATGATGCAACCCTTGAGACCATTTGAAAGGGATTACAAGTTGTCTATACACACTTGAAATATTCTCTTACATCGATCGAACCGGCGCTCTCTCAGAATATACACTCGGATCACACAACATTTTTCCTAAAAGCATAAACACGAGCAAAGTAAGAACATGTTTAGGAGCTTTTTAATCTCATCAACCGCCTTCATTTCTCGCTTTGATACACACTTATACATAGTCCTCCAATCCAAATGGGTCAAAAGTAAACCATTGCATAGGCTGGCCATAGCTCAGATTGTCTTTTCTCTGCTGTTAATAGATGGACTTTGTCCAAAATACATAAAACCTTTCGCGCGACAATTCCTCTGCTTGGACAAAAATGGCAAACCCTATTTCTGACTTTTCCAGAATGTCTCTATGGATTCCGAAGGTCTAAAATTGGTTAAAACTTAGCAATTTAATCCTAAACTTATACACGAAATTCCAATATAGTCATTGAATCAATTCCTATCATAAACTGTTAAAGTGGCGATCCATGTAAAGACATTGTTTCGAGTAAAAATTGTGACATTGTTTCGAGTAAAAATTGTCCATGTCGGCACACCACGTACGACGACTGGCGATAATTGGATGTCACATTAGCAATTCCCGGTAGCAAATAGCCGGAAGTACTGCACAAAAATTTCGCGGAAATGTTTCGGACTACATAGGCAAAATTAAAATGTTTAGAACTGAATTAGCTTCCGTTCAACAGATCGAAGATTGATTTGATAATTATCACCAAAGCGCCAATTTGAATTTGAATCAAACTAATTTAGAGTTGGGGTATTCGTTCCTAGATACATGGAGTTGTATCCACTCCGTCTGTAGCGTGAACTTCCTCTCCAACGCGGTCCGTCCAGACTTTGCGATTTCACCCAATTCCAATCCGTTCACCTTCTGCACTTAGGTCCTTCTATTATATTGATGTCAATGTTATCCAAGTTGCTCTCTCCGTTGCCACCTTCGCATCATACTTGGGTGTATAACCACGAATTTGGGATTGAAACCTCTCATTCGTAACCTCATGTTAGTCTAATCGAGGAGATAGGGAAGGAGAGAGCCAGGATTTCCGGTGGGCGAGATTAATTGGCTATATGTCCTAAGGTTAGGCTAGGGTTTTCGATAAAATAATTAATATCCTGATCAAAAGTCGAATGCTCGTGCCGGTACGATCATATTCTTGACCCTCATATTGTATCGAAAAGGCAATATCTTCATCAAAGTCAATTTCTTAAGCCGGTAGATTTTACGTTCTTGATTCTCATACGTGTGTGGATTCTCAAATGTTCATCATAAGCCTAGCTAGTACATCTAAAGTAGAGAAAAGAGTAAAGATGGTATGGAAAAATATATGAAAATGGCGATGACAATCGGGAAAAAATCGTAAATAACACCGATCCAACCCGAGCTAAACCTTGTCAATAGTTAACAGGGCCTGTTACCAATATATATTTGTTCTATCATTTATATATCGCGAGTTTCGATCTTTCTATCACTTACACGCATCAAATTTAAGCTTTTGGAGTAACCCGGCATACTAATTACTAAGTATATAATCTTCCGATCTTCGACGTGAGCTCTACACTAAATGGTTGTGTAGAGGCCCCATCTTTACCAACTGAGAGAATCGATTAGAGCTGTGTTAAAGATGATTTAACCGCAATTAAATCAAAATAAGGTGCCTGTAATTAATTAGTTAATCACTTTCTTTACCTCGTGTTTTTCTTTAGATGTTTAATGGAGATGGGGAAATTGATCAAGGCAGGGCGAGATTTATATTGGTGAAGGTTATGCTGATGTGCGTTGATCGGTTAGGTAATTATACTTTTACGTGATTTTTACATTTGACATGTATCGGAGCCCGTCCCCGTCGAGGTCTTATTCCTTAACTCTTACGAGATCGGATAGGTGCGTTTGTATCACGAACAATTACTATGTAATTTAGGGTTTCGCCCCGTCCTGCGGAGCTTATGTGGGGGCCTTTGGGCCTCGATCAAACATAGAGTGATTAACCTAAGATGATGCACAAAAATCAGAAGTATTTAGCTGTGGTAATGAGGATGTTTGGCTGAGGTCCAGCCATGCAAGCTCAATCCCGATAAGTCTTTCTGTACTGGGCTATCTTATCAACTCAAGCCCACCTAATCCAGATCTGGAGTTCAACTGTACGTCATTTCACATGATAGAAGATCGCCTTTCCTTTCTTTCTTTTTTCTTCCTGAACGACCCAAGGGCTTAGCTGAATTTCGCTCAGTCCACGGATACCGTAGAATCGCCAATTCCTTGATCCAATATTAGGGAAAATTGTCTAAAAAGTCGTAAACCTATTGCACTTTTGCCAATTCAATCACAACCTTTTTAATTATGTCAATTGAGTCCTAGACATTTTCATAATTTTCCAATTGAGTCCATCCGGCTAATTTTAACCGAAAATCGCTGATGTGGACGAGGGTGTCCTAGCCCTCGCTCAGGGCGGGTCGCCCAGGGTCGGCGAGGGCCGCGACCCCCTCGCTCCGGTCCTCGTTGGCCACAGCCCTTGCCCAGAGCCGATGAGGGCCGTGACGCCCTCACCCAGTGTCAGCGAGGGTCGCCGGCCTGAATCCAAAAAAAAATTATAAAAAATTTCAAAAAACATTAAAATATCATTAAAAAATGTCTACTTCAATGTCGATTGTGCCACGTAGGACGGCCGGCGTCCACGTCAGCGATTTCCGATGGACTCAATTGGTAAAAGGCAAAATGGTTTATGACTCAATTAGCACAATCGAAATGTTGGAGACTGAATTGGCAAAAGAGCAACAAGCTTAGGACTTTTTGGGCAATTTTCCCTCCAGAATTACAACCAATCTTGTCAATTTGCCTTTGGTCCAACCATAAGACTCGATAATTATCCGGTATGCGCAAAACTAAAAACATTAAACGCGTGAGATCGACCTATAGCGTTCCGAAGCGCCTTCTATGCCCTTTGGTAAACCGGAAAGACTAAAATTTCAACTTGACAATAGACTATGAGCAGAACATCAAGTCAAGGAAGAAAAGGAAGTTTTGAGACCTACAGTTCCAACTAAATATCCACAAGGCCTTCGGTCTTAGAGGAACCACTCGTGCTGGCACTGCTCGGGAGGCTCCACTGGTCGGAGAACCCGCCGGATACCGGGCCGTTCCCGCACTTCACCACGGCTCTGATGCTCTCGATCAGCTCCTGCGTCCGGCTTTCCTGGGATAATATCTCGAGCAACTGCTCCGGGTAAATCACGAGCTTCACCTTCCAAACCCCGTTGTTGCTCTTGCCACTATCCCTAGCGAAGACCTCGGTGTACGACCTCTTCAACATGCCTTGGTAGTCCAGCGACATCCGGTACGGCGCGACGAGCGACGTCGGTATGCTATTGGACCGGACATGTCCTGCTCTCACGACCTCGTTACCTAACAACAATTTATGATCTCGCGTCTTGTCATCGTCTTCCTCGCCATCGTAGGGGAGCAAGTAGTATGATTCTCCTACCACCAGCTCCTCGTGAAGAGGGAGTGGGTTCCAGAAGAGGTCGTGCGCGCGGAAAATGCCGTGGCCCGGGAACTCGTCGGCTATGGACCGGACGGCGACCGGGGTACAAAACTCCATGATGCCCCCGTTGGGCGCCACCACCTTGACGATCTCTTGATGAGCCTCTCCTAAGCCTCCGAAGAGGCAATTCCCCATGTCGATCACTCAGTATATTGTCAAGAGGGAGACTATTGCAATGGTGTTCTTCTTTTCTCCTTGTGCGTGCATATACACTACGGTGTTTTTGGAGGGTGTTGAGACAGATGGGAAGAATTTCTGGAGGGAGTGGGAAAACAAAAGATGTCGTCGGTGGGATTCTTCTTTAAAGCTTCCTTGCTCTAACCTAGCCCACATAAATTAATAATTAATGAACTAATTGATTAATTAAAATTCATTAAAATTGGGCAAGAAAATCTCTAATAGGGCCAAAATTTTGTTAGACCATATATAATTCAATTCATGTGTTAATAATGGTACAAAATATTCTCCACTCACACTGTGGAAGTGGTCCAACTGTGCATGACATGAATGCGATGTTTTTTTTGTGGTAGTGACAAAGTGATGGTAGCATTGTTATAAATAACAATAATGGAGCACTAAAGTTTTCATATCTTGATTTAATAATGTGGGGCCTAAAATTATGGTGGGTCTAAAGACATTGGATTAAAGTACTTTGTGGAGGGGTCCAGTCAAAGACAATTGGACCAGTCAATGAATTGAGAAAACACCACTTTTCTCTTTTGTTCTTTAAGCAAACTTTGGTCTCTTTTGGAGGGGCTGTGGCATGGAAACTTGGGACACATCATGATGATTATCCCAACTTTAGATCTATCTTGTTCTTTAGGTTTGGTTCCAAGGTTACGTATATAACTTACAGAAAAGGAAAATAAGATTGCAGAATGATGAGAATCCAAAGCCATGCATATCACAATTCTCACACTGTTAATTTGAGTGCATAAGCGACGAATTTGAAAGCTTACATATTGATTATAGCATAAGCTCGACCTATTATTGTCGATTTAGTTTCTAACAATCATTTTTTTAATCCGCTGAATGACCACCTAATCAGTGAATGGTTAAGCGCTTGATTTGAATGCGGCAGATCTCGTTTCCAAATCACAACGTCGTCCGCTCCGAGTAACTTTAGGAAGCCACGCTCGCCGTCAAAGGGGCAAAGGTTTAGTCGACGACACTCGCGGATGGAGTGATTTACACGCGTTCATAAGGATTAATTGAACCGATTCAATTGCCCGTACCTTTATAATATAAGAAATTAGTAAGGTAAGGGTGCGTATGGCTCACGCAGATGATGACATGTATCGATACATAATCAAATGCCATGTGGTCGATTACATTAAAAGAAAAGTCCGAAAGAAAAGGGAACATAACATGGTCATGCCTCGGCTGGCTTGACCGAATCAATAGTGGGAAACTGCGTAAAATGTGGGATGGGGTCGCTTGATTGATACACTTTTGTGTCTCATTTAATGGAGGATCGATTGGCCTCTTTGCTTTGCTATAGTTCCCAGTATCACTGGAGAGAGATGCAGCTTTGGCTTATGTCATGAACTTGGACGAGTCGGCAAATATATAATAAGAACCAAGTGAAGAATCGTCCAAAAGGTCCAAAATCTTTTGTACGCCCATCAATTCAATCTTAATCTTTCTAATTTATGCAATGTAGTCCTAAAACTTTTGATAATTTTTCAATTTAATTCATCCAACTAATTTAGGGCGGAAATCACTAGCGTGGCAATCCAATAAGCATTGACCATCTTACGTAGCACGGCCGACGCTAATGAAGACGTTTTTAAAATTTTTTAAAATTTTCTAAATTTTTTCTATTTTTTCATTTTCTTTTCTTGCTTTTTGCTATTGTACTATTATTATTTTTCCTCTTACAATTGCTAGGGCCTCGGCAATGGCCAGCCTTCACCGACCTCAGCTGAGGACCGCGACACCCTCACCAAATCTGGGCAATGGGTGGCCTATGAGGGCCATGATGCCCTTGCTGGCCATCTTCGAGGCCCAATGACCGGTAGAGGAAAAAGATGAATTAGAATAGGAAAAAAAAATCAAAAAATTCAAAAAAAAATTGTAAAAAGCGTCTACATCAGCATTAGCCGTGCCACGTAAGACGACCAACAGTGACTAGACCGCCACGTCAACACCTAAATTGATTGATGGATTACATGGGAAAATCATTAAATTTTTTTGGATTACATTGACCAAATTGAAAAGAGTAACACAAGATTAGCAATCGTAAGTTTAGGACTTGTTGGACAATTTTCCCTTATAAGATGTGTAGAATCAAATAGGCCTCTTTGCTTTGCTATAGTTCTCAGTATCATTGGAGAGAGATGCAGCTTTGGCTTATGTCATGAACTTGGACGAGTCGGCAAATATATAATAAGAATCAAGATGGGAAGAATCGTCCAAAAAGTTCAAAATCTTTTGTACACCCATCAATTCAGTCTTAAACTTTCTAATTTGTGCAATGTAATCCAAAAGCTTTTGACAAATTTTCAATTTAATTCATTCGACTAATTTAGGCCGGAAATCACTAACGTGGTAATCCAGTGAGCGTTGGCCGTCTTACGTGGCACGGCCGACGCTAATAGAGATGATTTTTAAAATTTTTAAAATTTCTTTAAATTTTTTTTAAAATTTTCTGAATTTTTTCTATTTTTTCATTTTCTTTTCTTACTTTTTCGTATTCTACTATTATTATTTTTCCTCTGCGAGTCGCTAGGGCCTCGGCGATGGCCAGCCTTCGCCGACCTCAGCAGAGGGCCGCGACACCCTCGCCAAATCTGGGCGATGGGTGGCCTACGAGGGCCACAATGCCCTTGCTGGCCATCTCTGAGGCTCGGCGACCGGTAGAGGAAAAAGATGAATTAGAATAGGAAAAAAAAACTCAAAAAATTCAAAAAAAAATTGTAAAAAACGTCCACGTCAACGTCAATCGTACCACATAAGACGACCAACAGTGATTGGACCACTACGTCAGCACCTAAATTGATTGATGATTACATGGGAAAATCATTAAAAAAATTTGGACTACATTGACCAAATTGAAAAGAGTAACACTAAATGGGCAATCGTAGATTTAGGACTTGTTGGACAATTTTCCCTAATAAGAAGTGTAGAATCAAATATGCAAATGCAACCAATGATTTCAAAAGTTTATGCCGATAGCTAAAGAGTAGCGGGATAAATATTACGTTGCATCTCAACGAAGGAATTTCTTCATAACAATAATGTCATATTACGAGGCTTGTAAGTACAATTTGGACAACTCGTTCACTCCTCGTCGCCTACAAACATGCCATCCTCTATAGGGGTGAGCAAAAAAAACTGCCCATATCGGGAACTGCCCATATCGGTTCTTGAAGGCATTGATCCGGTTACATAAAATTGAAATTGGTGAATTTCGGTTCAATTCCCAATTCCAGGTATGGAACCGGTCACCCGAACGAGATTGATTTTTTTTATATATTTTTTATTTCTCACAAATCTAAAAAAAAAAAACCGTTAGTCATGCAGTATTCACCCTTGCTGGTGTTTGTTTGTAAAACAAATAAATAAGACATTTCCCTTGTCCTACATAGGAAATAAATGAAAGTTTTGATCTCTTTATAAGTTAAAGTGTTATCTACCATTGTAAATGGACAAAATGGGTGAGTGAACCAAAATAAGCCTTAATCAACAAATTTTTTTTTTTTACTTATGACTGATCGGACAAAACTGTCCGTTTTAGGACAGGAAGGGTATGTCCAAAATTGACATTAAAGAGATGTGTTCGAATTGTAATTTTTCGAACATGAAGGGCTGTGTTCGAATGGCGGTTTTCACACACGAAAGGTGATATCCAAATTGCAATTTTTCGGACATGAGTGGGTGTGTCTGTATTGGCCGTTTAGACATTAAGAGGTGTGTTCTATTTGTATTATATATTGGACAATTCTGTTCAATTTTTTTATGCACTTAACTTCCATCATTTTTTTTCGTCTTCCTAAAAGGAAAAAGGAGACAGCCATTTTTTTAATTGTTTTCACAGATAGTTTTAGGAGATTTACTGAAATTGTTATCCAATATTCTCATCGTGACTTTGTTGTATCTTGAAGGGAATTTGCCAATAACCTATAGCAACTTCGTGGAGCAAATTGATCATAAAAGAGAGTGATTATACGTCTCAAAATCCAACTACGTTTTGATTCTATTTCCTCCAACCTTTTCTTTAACAACCCTCGCTCACTCATGCCTCTTTCACAAACCTAAACAGTGAAAACCCTAATCCCATTCTTCCCGACTCTCGCTCGCTCACGCTCACGCTCGTGCTGGTTCTTCTTTGCTGCTGTTGTGACGTGCCCTTGTTCCCACCAGCATCGAAGCTTCATCGAACAAACACCATCACACTTCAAGATCAGCATCCTGACGTCCCGGCAACTGTGCCTTGCAGTCATCAACGAACTTCGCTGTCTCGGAGATTCCTCACTGATCCTTACTTAGCCCCGATCAACCCCCCTGTTGCTGCTTCCTCGGCGTTCTTCCAAGTGACTTCCAGCGATGCGCCGCCTTGCTTCCATCCAACTTGCATTGCGAACCGCCTCATCTCGTGACAACCTCTTGCCCGAGATTGACGAGCACCTGCAGTGATCGGCTAGTAATTTTAACAAGATTGGCAAGTTATTTTCTTCTTGCAAGTTTTCTGGTGATTCTCTCCTGTCCTAGTGACGTCTTAGTTTCCTTCCATCACGGCGCTGAATATAAGCAACTTGTCCAACACCCCCATAGCATTGGTTCTTTTGACTCACCAGAGAACTGGACCGAACTGAATCAGTCGGTTCGGTTCCAAGACCAGGTGGCCCAGTTCCTAATTCCAGGATGAAAATCGGCCCAACCTGAAATCGATCACTCATGATCCTCTAATTGAGCTGGATTCTACTTAAGCAAAAGTTAAAACCGTTAAAACCGATTCTGAATATTCTTTCAGAATTTTCTCTTGTAACCTAGTTTTCGTGCGAAATTTGAGGACCCACTTCACAACGCCATAAATTGGAGATTTCTAGTCTTTTCTTATAATTATTGAACTAAGTTGTAAAATTAATTAATATTTTAATGAGCACCTGCAACAATAAACGGAGGTCATTTATCAAATATCGATTGTCGTACCTACCGAGGTCTTTGCCAAATTTGAAGCACATCTCAATTTTCAAGATACTGTTGGAGCATTTTCGCTGTTCTTTTACTTTTGCACTTTTATCTTGTCTCACGTACTTCCACCGCAAAGAGGCACATTATGGACATGATTGGT